TCTCTCTCTCTCTCTCTCTCTCTCTCTCTCTCTCTCTCTCTCTCTCTCTCTCTCTCTCTCTCTCTCTCCTCCTCTCTCTCTCTCCCTCCACCTTTCTCCCCTGCTCTGTCTCCCCCGCTCTCAGACACATGCTCTCGGCTCTCCCCTCCTCTCTCTCTCTCTCTCGCTGCGTTGTTCTAGTGGGTGGTTGCGACCAGACCAGCATCTGTTCAACTCTAACGTCATTACGCCCGTATTCTCCACACTTCACTCACCAGCTGTATCCAGGCTAGCTAGCCACGACGAGAAAATACTGTCGTATTTCTAACGTTGATTGTTAGCCCGTAGGGCTGGGGGGTGGGGGTGGCTGGCTGCTTGGCCGCACGGTAACCGCGTTTACACGTAATCACCAGCGTCGAGATTTTTTGCAAATGTGATCAGCTGGTGCCATCTAGTGTCGAAATTGGTTACGATTGCTCTTGTGCGCGTAAACTCAGGGGAAGGGTGGGGGGGTGGGGGGGTTTGAGTGGGGGAATTGTGAGAGGAGGATGAGAGTAGAGAGGAAAATAAGCGCGATTGCTATTTTCAAGCGGCGCACGTAGCATTGATTAAATACGTGTGTACTTGTGCGTGTGCGCGTGCGTGCGTGCGAATGTGCGTGTGTGCAGGTTGTACGCGTGTGTAGTGTGTACTTTTATACGTGCTGTGTACGTGCGCGCGTGTGTACGTTTGTATGTGTGCTAGAGTGTGTGTGTATGTGTGCGTGCGTGCGTGCGTGCGTTTTGCTCTGTGTTAACGACGCTCTTGTGTTATTTCTCTGCTGCCTGCAGAAGCCCGGGAAGTGGTGCGCCGCTCACGTGCGGATAGCGTGGGAGATCTACCATCACCAACAACGCCAGCAAGCAGAGGCGCAGAAGGACCAACAAGGTACGGAGAGAGGAGGGGAGGGGAAGGAGAGGGAGGAGGGAGGAGGGAGGGAGGAGGGAGGAGGCTGTAGTAGGTGAGTGTGCGTGTGTGCGTGCGGATAGCGTGGGAGATCTACCATCACCAACAACGCCAGCAAGCAGAGGCGCAGAAGGACCAACAAGGTACGGAGAGAGGAGGGGAGGGGAAGGAGAGGGAGGAGGAGAAGGGAGGGAGGGAGGGAAAAACAAGGAGGAGGGGGAGGGAGGGGGCGTGGGCCGCTGGAGTAGGTCTGTGTGCGTGCGTGCATCTAGAAATTTTAATATAAAAATTATTGTAACGAATTATTATGTTCCGATTTTTAAACATTATTTATATTTCTTCGCAGTTTAACAGTCAGAATAGTTCGGTATA